TTGGACACTCAAGAAAGAAAGGTATCTGGGGAAAGTCACAGGTCAGGGTCGTCAGGAACAGCAGCGCTCACCAGCCAGAGGTGAAGCGCGTGGGAATGACGCAAGGGGCGAGGAGGTAATTTCCGCCCCGTGGTAAATGACTCTCATTCCTATGACCTCTGGGGAGTGTTCTGAATTGTTGGGGGGCGGGGGGCGCATCTCAAATTATTTTCTAAGTTCACAGACACTTAGACACGAGCTTCACCTTCTCTCCGGCTTTCCTTTTGATCTCATCTCAGAAATGTCACCCAGTTATCTTTGAGGGTACCGTGTCGCAAAGCCTATTTGGAAACGGAATCTCTGGGCTTCCCCCCGCCCCCCACCAGCTTCCCCCGGACGCTCACGCCGGAAGCCAGGTGCCCACGTGGGGGCTGGCAGTTCAGGCATTGGCATGCGTGGCCTTGCGTCTCAGATGCTTCCTTCTAGATCATTCTCCTACTACCAGGTCCGTGTCTACGTGGTTTCTCCTCCCTCCGGTGGAGGGTAGGCTCTCCTGTCTAGAGCTCCCGATTCCAGATCTCTGCTTGGATTTGTAGGCACATCATAGAACTGAAAGTCGGCTGAGGACCCTTTTTAAAGGCAGCCTGATGTCCAAGTCTCTTGTCGCAAAAGTGTGCCAGCTTTGCTTGTCCGGTTTGTTTGAGGCATCTGGTCTCCTGGTGTGGCACACTGACCTGTGTTTCCCCCGGGGGCCGAGAATTGCCCTCCTGGATCCTCATCGCTGCTCAGCACGCCTGTCTTGCCCTGGAGAACGAGGTGGGGGAGCCCAGCACACGGAGATCAAGAGTAGGCCTGCCCACTCACCTCTCCCGGTTCCTTCTGCTGTCAGCGGAGCGACCCTGCTAATTTCTTGGCCTCCTTGAACCTAGCTTTTCGTCTGCAACTGACAGTGAATCACAGCTCTGTATTGGTACGCCATGAGGGCTACACGCATATGCCATAAGACGTAAAAAGCCCTTAAAATCAGTGTTTGGGGCACGAGAGCTACTCGGTAAAGGTTGGTTGTTTGCATCGCTCTGGAAAGAGCTGCGACGATCCGAAAGCGAGACTTTTTCTTTCGAAATCGATGCCCTTTTTGGCCTCGGGATGTGCTGAGGTGGTCTTGCAAAGCCTGGAGTTTCGTTTTCTTTCTTGGGTTTCTGAGCCGCGTGGCCCTGAGGGTTGCGGTCACCGTCTATGCCTGAGAGCCTGGTTATCTGAAAGGGCATTTCATTTCCCTTAAATGTCGGGAAGTCTCCCAACTGTGCCTTTGTCTGCTTGAAGGAAGGTCTTCTTAGTGAGAAGGTTTAGATCTTGAACCCAGCGCACAAAGGCAACTGTGTGAGGAAAGGTTGTGGAGGAATGGGAAGAAGTCTCCAGGCCAGGGAGACGTGCTCATCTCTGGAAGGAGGACAGGCTGCAGAAAGGGGCTTCCCAACCCAGATGGAGGGAGCCAGCGTGCAGGGATCTGAGGTGCCCGTGCGGTGAGGGGCCGCGTCCCCACTCTGCTCCCTGTCACTTATCAGCCGCAAGTGAGACAGGACAGAGAGGCGGCCTCTTGGCTTTCCTCTGCTGGTAGCACCCACGCAGGCAGAAGAAACTAAAACCACAGGTGGCCCCCGTGGCCAGAGGCCGGCAAGTCCCCAAGTCTGATGGCGCACGGAGCGTGTCCACGCAAAACCTTCCCGACTCCACAGTATCGCCCTTTGCGTGGAGCTCACGCACGGAGCGCATCCTTGTTGCTCGGTATTTGATTGGCCTGGGGGAGGGGGCAGGGGACGAGGGAGGCTGCAGGGGTGGCCTCTGGACACGTCATGCTTTGCCACCCCCTACGCCTCCTTGGCTGGCCTTCTTTTCCTATCTTTCCTCACCCTTGTGCTCATGGGCATCTGAAACCTTCTTCACAGCTCCCCTGTGCCTTCACTGATTTTTCCAGGCATACCTTCCAAATCCACTAATTGAATACATTTTATTTCTAACACATCATTTCCAGAATATTTCCCAGAGCTCCGATATCCACATAATTACACCTGTGTCAGTTGTTCACAGTCTTGGTGGCGTGGTGGGGTCGCCTGGATAAAAAAGACGGACAGGTGGAAGGAAGGAACAAAAGGAGAGAGAGAGAGAGAGAGAAACTCAGCTGGGGTGGTGCCTGGTCATCGGTTTATTTACAAAGCTCCCCCAGCAGTGCTCACGCACAGGCAAGACGGAGACCATGGCTTTAGGCAGATTGTATGAGTGCTCATCACCTACTCTGCTTACGCCCTGGAACACAGTAGACTCCATTCTGATGAGTACCGGGTGTCAGACGCTGCTGGGCACGACTTGGTGCAAAGCAAGCGTCGGCCCCTCTTCAGGACACTCACGGTTAAACACACAGACGCAAAGGTGCGGTCCCTAGCTTCACACTTCAACACGAAGAAGCGGTCAATGTCGCCAAGCAGGCAAGCGTCCTGCAATCCCGCACACGTTAACTATTTGCAAAAAAGGTATTCAAATTCAGATTTCCACCGACCCACCAAGACACACAGGACGAGCTAGTCTAAAGCTAGATCACCATGTGCAGAATTTACAGAAGAAACTACCAGGAACGTGCCCCAAAGCCCGACTGCGTCAGAATCACCGAGAAGCCCGTGCAAAAGCCGAGGAATCGTTCGAGAAAAACACACATTTGCACGCAGTTTCGGAATCCACGAGTCTGCTGTGGTCCCCGGGTTAAGAATTCCCAACAAAGGGAGTTTTTAATCACCACATCAGAGAGAGGAGAGGCCGCTCAAAAGTGACCGTGTTTCTTTCACATCTCGGCCAGGCAAGGGACCTAAAAGGAAAAGAGAAAATAAACTTTATAGAGAACCGGGCAAGGTTACTGAATGAGTAAACTAATGAAGTACGTAGAGCCCTTTTAAAGTTCCTGGTGTTGCTTTTACGGCTAGCTCTTGCCGAATGGGAAGAATTTGCATCCGTGGAGAGGTTGACAAAGGCTTTTCTGGGTAGAGTGAGCTCCGGAAGCGAGCGTGCGGGCACTGAGAGCGGTGAAATCCAGTGTCGAGGGGAGCGAGGCCTGCGGGGTTTTGCTGGACGTTAGGTCACCTGTGAGGATGCGGGACAGAAAGCCGTGTATACGGCAGGGTCCCAGCTCCGCTGTAAGGTGTCCGCTGTGGCGTGGGGTCCCTGAACATTCTGTCCCGTAGATCTCGCTCTCCCGTGAGTAGGTGGAGAAGGCAGGGCTCGGCACGGCCGCAAGAAGGACGCGCCGTCTCGGGAACGGGTAGGAGACGCCAGAGTTCTCGTAAATCCCAAACCCAGAAAGGTGTGTTCAGCATCCTGACCGCAGGATCCCTCTGCCCGTGGAAACGCCAGGGGGAGGCTCCAGCCAGGCGGTGGCTGACTCTTTATCACAGCCACCGTTTCTCAAAGAGTTACGCTTTCTTGCAGAGGTCAGGAGAGAGGAAGTCCTGTGGGATTTCCATACTCGGTGCCATATTTTTCCTGATCAGCGCTCACCGTCCGCTGCAGCTACTCCTGCCACTGCCCCTGTCCCTGTCCCTCCCCCTGCCGCTGCTCTTGTCCCTGCCCCTCCCCCGCCCCTGCCACTGCTCCTGTCCCTGTCCCTGTCCCTGCTCCGTGCTAGAGCTGCTCAAGGAGAAAGTCAGCCTCTGGGTTCAGTCTGGCCTCTTTCCTTTCCGGGGATGCCTCCTT